ACTTAAAGCACCACACATAGCATTGGTATGCCCACACTCACACATACAGTTTTTAGAAATGTGTTTCCAGTTTTCCACAGTACAACATTTTACTACTTTCTCATCTGCAATGCCCTCCAATGGTAGTATCTACACACTGTAAGGGCCCCACTTGCGCCTTAACATTGAGCTCATCCTCTGGAAAATGGGTTCCATCATGAGCTCCATGTCTCTGCCCCGAGTCTCTCCCTGTATCCAGAACACTTCTGTTCCCTCAACTTGCAGATGCTTACCTACTCAGAAGAGGAGGCCTACGGTGCAGTGGGAAGCTCACTGCTTTGATTATTCTAAAAACACCAGAGCCAGGCTTCTAAACTGACGAGCCTAAACTTTCTCCTCACTCCTCAAAAATGTACTACACCTTCTTCTATCTGAACCATTTCTCCTTTTTTGTCCATAGAAATATGAATTGTCCAAAGGGAGTTTGTTGCCTTCCCAGTATTATCTATGGAAGGACCTCTCCTGCCTATCTCAGTCCTGAAACAACAGGGAGCTGCCCCTTCTCCTTCCTGAGACCAGGCCCTGACTCAGGCTGGATTTCTACATGCTCCTGCTTCCTCAACAGTACAGAAACAGCATTCTTCTCTTTAAGCAGACCCTCTTACACTGCTTTTAAACAAACCCACATCTACACAGCAGCAATTATCATGTGGCCTTACAACTTCCTGAAGCTGTAGCCCACAGGCCTATTTAAATATTCCTTATTGCAAATAAACTTATGAGTAATATTACCTAAGTGCTCTTACTCATTTTCTTGTCTCCTGTTTATTCTCTTGACATCCTTCCCCCATTCTCCAAGATGGCTTCTGTCAACACCATCCACAGGGCCTGCTTGGTCTTCATCTCACCACCAACTGACTACTGCTCTCAACCTTTCCAGTACTGCTTGCTTTTCACTCTATGAGGGAAAATGCTGAGGTTCCTCTAAGTAAACATCAGACCTCACTGTGCACCTTCACTCTTGGGAATCTTACCCAATTATGGTTTTATTTACCACACTGACAGCTTAAAAGTCATCCACTTGGTTTTCTGAATCTGAAGTTCAGACACCTCTTTTCTGAGCTCCCCAACTCTAAGTCTGTAGGCTCATGTCTGTCTGCATGGCCAGCATGGGCCTTGAAGACAGGATCCTTGCATTCAAAACCTATCTCTCCCATTATGGTCTGACATCAGGGAACTGCCTTAACACTGTGGTGTCTCTCTCATTCCCTAAACAATGTAGTAACCCTGGCCCCATCCAGTTCCTGCTTCTTACCTTGTTCTCCTCATTACTGCAGTCCCTCACCCCTTCCAATATTCAAATTGCTCACTTCCTAGTCAACTCTTAAACAGCTTCAGGGCCTTGCTTAACTCACCCTCCCTAGGGAAGCAGAGAAAGGGAGAGGGCATAGAAGGAGGGGAGAAGTATTTCAGTTAGACAGAACTTAAAGAAAATAATCATTTAGATGAAAAACCAAACACAGGCACACAGGTAGGAGATTCACATGGGGAACACTGGTCTTATGAAGATCTAGCTGAGTGATCACAGGATGCACACAAGAGAATCAGAAAGAAGAGCTGCCTGGTGCTCCCAGCCCTGCAGGTTTTTATCTGGATGAATAAGGGAATAGAAAGATGTTCCTCTTTCCCACTGGAAACAGTCTCAGTACACCAACACTGACTCATCTATTCTTAGTATGTTCAGATAAAACTAATCTAAATGATTAACATGTCAAAACTAATCTATACTCTTACTTAACAAGTAAGATTCAACAACGTAATGCCTTTGGTACTTTTAAAGTGACATTTTACATTATTTTCTCATATATGTAAACAAAATATCAAAATATATTTTGACAGACTATTACTCAATAATGAAAACAAATGAACTATTGATCATGTAATAACCTGAATGAGTATCAAAGGTATTATACTAAATGAAAATATACTAAAAGGTTACTCACTTAATAGTCTACTTACACAATACTGAAATGTAAATACTAAGAAAACAGAGAAGATACCAGTGATTGGCAGGGCTTATGGATGGAGGTTGACAGGTGAAATGCTAGAAGAACAGGGCTATAAAAGGGCCATATGAAGACTCTCTGTAATGGAAACCTTCATTTTTGAACATAGTTACAAAAAGCTATACCTGAAATAAGAATTACACACACACACACACACACACACACACACACACACACACACACACACACACGAGTTCAAGAAAAATTAGACATCTGAAAAAGATGAAGACTGTATTAATATTAATACTCTAGAGCAGTGGTTCTCAACCTTCCTAATGCTGCGATCCTTTACTACACTTCCTCATGTTGTGGTGACCCCCAACCATAAAATTATTTCATTGTTACTTTCTAATTTTGCTGTTATGAATTATAATGTAAATATCTGATCTGCAGGTTATCTGATATACAACCCCCATGAATAGGTTGTTCGATTCCCCAAAGGGGTCCCAACCCACAGTAAGAACCACTGCTCTAGAGAGCACCACTGAGAAAGTGTATAGTGTCATGTGTATTATTGAACGTTTATGTGCATTTATAATTGCCTCAAATCTAAATCTATGAATGAAAAACAGCTCTAGTGGTGGGGATAGAGAACTTGTTTAGCATGTGTGAGGCCCTGGGTTTCATAGCTGGCACTTCAAATAAAAAATTAATAGACAAACAGATAAATCCTTTAAACTTTGAAGTTTAAAGCATTTTACCACTATGACAGCAGTTTTAATTGTCAACTTGACATAGTTTAGGATAACTTGGGAAGAGAGTCTCAATGAGGGATTGTCTAGATCAGGTTGGCCTATAGCCATGTCTATGAGGGGGGGTCAACTTGATTGAATTAATTGAGGCGGGGTAGGGTGGGAAGACCCACTAAGAATGTGGATGGTACCATTTCATGGGCTGGGCCCTGGATTGAATGAAGAAAAGAGCGAGCTGATCACTTGTAAGCGTGCGCCCATTCATTCTCTCTCTGCTCCTAGCTGTAGATGTGAGCAGCTACGTCATAGTGCCTTCGCCTCCTTACAATAATGGACTATAACCTGGAATTGCGAGCTAGAATAAAACCCCTCTCCTTTAAGTTGCTTTTATCTCAGCAACAGAAACACATCCTCAAAAGTTTTATACTCCTCATCCCTTGATACAGACTTGAATCTTTTCACAGGTAGTGTCCAGTTCCTCCACATTTCACCCACACTAGTGTCAGCTCATGAAGAAAGGACATCCAGGGTAGCTACACAGTTGTCTTAAGGTTGTACTGAACACAATAGAGAAGTATTAGCATTTTAGAGAGGAAGTCTTGAAATGAGCTTCAAGGTCTGAGGTCATAATGACTCAGACAACTACTTATAACCTATGAAAAACTGCCTTCTTTGGCACTTTGAAGTGTTAAAAAAAATCACATAGAATTAAATTACAAAGTTTGCACACTTGTTTATGCAGCTGGTCTTTTTAAAAATTGTGGTGCTTTAAGTCTACAATTCTAATGGGCTCACTGGTGACATTCCAATCCTTTGAAAAATAAATGAAATATCATAAATCATTTGACAGTTCTTAAGCTTAGATTTTTATCATCACTCTGACTCTAAAAATAAAAAGCAATATGTAAGGATAGGATCTTGTTTTGTGCCCTATAAAGCTCAAGACAGAAAATAAATCATACTATTACATGTCATTTAAAACCCTAACTTTAATACTTGGGATTAAATTGGCATAATGCCTGTGGTCACTCCCATGAGAATCTACACAAGTAGAACAGCTTTTCTTCAAATACTGCATAAGTCTGGTACTTCCTGTGATAAATGAAGCAATAAGGCTTGGAGACTGTACTTGTGTATACTCAAATCCTTTATGTCCACACCCATATGGGCATCCTGCAAGATATCTGAAAGATATTGGGGTTAGTCTTTTGAATTAAAAAAAAAATGTTTTGCAGCTGGGCATGGTGACACATGTCTTTAATCCCAGCATTTGTGAGGCAGAGCCAGGTGGATCTTGTGAGTTCCAGGAAGGGCTGTTACACAGAGAAAACCTGTCTCTAAGCATTAAAAAAAAAAAATTTTGTACATTTGTCTGTATTGTCTGCATTGTGTATGTGTTCTCAAGACTACAGAATATTCTTTTTTTAAGTTTTCTATTAGTTTCTTTATTATGGTCATGTTACTTTATAAAGCAGAGCTACTAAAATTAATGTTCTACAACATAAAGGATAATTAGTTTATTGTAGTCTTTTTAAAATTTAATTAATTTATTTATGTTGTACGAATTCCTAAAGGTCTTATAATAAAAAATACCCTGAAGCCAGATACTGGAGTAAATGCTGAAAGATCAGAGAGACAAAGGAACAAGCCACAGCTACTTCTCACCTCGTCAACTCCAAAAAATCCTCTGACTGAATGTCTCAGTCCTCAGCCGAAAGGGGTCCAGCCGAAAAGGCTTTAGTTCCTGTCTCCTCATGCCTTATATACCCTTCTCTGCCCAGCCATGCTACTTCCTTCCTAGTGCTGGGATTAAAGGCATGTGTGCTTCCCAAATACTGGTAGCAAAGGCATGAGATCTCAAGTGCTGGGGTTAAAGGAGTGTGATTACCAAGTACTGGGATTAAAGGTGTGTACCATCACTGTCTGGCTCTGTTTCTCTGCTAGACTGAATCTATCTCATGTAATCCAGGGTGGCTTTGAACTCACAGAGATCCAGATGGATCTCTGCCTCCCAGTGCTAGGATTAAAGGTGTGTGCCATGTTTAATCTAGTGGCCTGTTCTGTCTCTGATCTTCAGGCAATTTTTTTTTTTAATTAGGATACAACAAAATATCACCACATATTTACTTTACATTCCAATGGCAGTTTCCCCTCCCTTTCCCCTGCCTGTCCCCATCCACTCCTCCTCTGTTTCTGTTCAGAAAGGGGCAGGACTCCCATGTGTATCAACAAAGCATATCAAGTTGTGGTAAGACTAAGCATCGGGCGGTGGTGGCACAAACCTTTAATCTCAGCACTTGGGAGGCAGAGCCAGGCAGATCTCTGTGAGTT